TTCGATTTCGTCGCCTAGAGTTTCCCAGACGCCAGACCGAGGGTCTCCGGCAAGGCCAGCGGCGCTGAGGGCCGACTCCTGGGCACTGTGGCCTGCGACCTGAAATCGGCCCCTCTCCACAACGCGGCCAAGCGAGGAAACCTGCCCTCGAGTCCAGGAGGAGGTGCGGCCCCCACACAAATGCTCACTCGCATCGCTCTGGGTCAATGACTCACTCCAGCACCGCCCCCAGTCCTGGACCAAAAACAGCATCAGCCCCTTACACGCTCGGATCTCATGGCCCCCAGAGGGCCACAGGGCGGCAATCTCAGCGTAACGGGTGCGACAGAATCGATGGCAGGTACGGAAGACAGACAGAAGGCCCCTCTGAATGAAACCCACAGAGGTAGCGCGGCCAAGCCAGTACTCGAGGGCCCAGCCTGGACATTCGCCGCCATGGAGCATTTCCTCGCTCACGGCTCAGATCTCCCAAGAACGCTCCGGCGCAGTGGCCGCGCGCAGCCGGCGCCCGTCAAGCCGATAGCCCAGGGCTCGGACGTCCTCGCCCTGCAGGACCTCGCCCCCGCGCAGCTCGAGGCGCGCTGCGCGGAGCTCGCCCCCCACTCTCGGACGGCCTTCACCCTGGCCTTATCGCCCCGCGAGAAAGCGCCCAACTTGTCCACGCACGCGCAGTGCCAGGGACGATCCTCTGAGAGCGCCAGGGGCGGCGATCGGTCGCGCAGGAGCTCCGAGCCGCGCAAGCTGGGCGCGGCCGCGGCCATCCGCTCGTCGGCCTTCTAGGCGAAGCACAACGACCAGGCGAAACCCATGCTCATGGGAGCCGAGGTGGGCCACGCCGCGTCGGTTGGCCTAAGCCGGACGCCGCCCAGCTCCGTCAACCCCAGAAAACGCGCAGGCACCACCGGCCAGGCGAAGAAGGGCCTGAGCCAGGGCGAGGCCTTGAGGCGGCGGAAGCAATCCTTCACGACGGCCATGCCCAGGCGCAGCCTCGGGCTCTCTAGAAGTTCGAGGGCGCCGTCGCCCACCTTGACGTTCGCGAACGCCTCGGAAGTGCAGAGCCGCACGCCCGGCGGGGGGCGGAACCAGCAATTGCTCCTCCTAGCGTCTGAGGTCAGCTTGAAACGCGTCTTGTTGCTCTTCCAGACGAAGAAGATCCCGATCCTCTCCCGCGGCGTGAGCGTAGCATCAAGCATGCCCTGGTCACAGAGCCTCCTCATGAAGGCATGGAACGCCTTCTTGCTGAACAGCAGCTTTTTGTCAGTGCACGGCGTGATCCGCCGCGCCTCGAACTCCATCTCATCAATCTCAGTCTCGGGTCGCAACATCAGCTCTTGATGGGCCTCCAAGTAGCGAGAGACCTCCGCGCCCAGCAGCGACTCGATCGGGGGGGAACCCGAGACGTCGCCGGACAAAGAAACGAGAGCGGCGTTGAAGGCCGCGAGGTTCACCCCGCGTCACAATACCTGGCTTGGCCGGCTCAGAGGCAAGGTCCCAGGCGTCGTAGCCGGCGAGCCAGTTCAGTCCGTGGACCGCCTCCTGCACCATCTTTGTGCGCCGTCTAGCCTGGCCCCAGGCCTTCTTTGCCGAACGAGTCGAGGTGGCAGGGCTGGCTGGCGACGCAGGAACAGGCAAAGGGAAGGGCCCCTCGTCGGTCGGTCACCTGGGGAACGGCCCCCAGCGCCCACTGATTGCCCGCCGAGACTAGAGCGAGACCCCTCGGCAGCTCTGCTAATTACTCGTGGCGCGAAGGCGGCAGCGGGCGCGGGTCCACGCCGGCCTCGATCGCCGTCCTCGCGTCCACCATCGCCATGATCTCCTCCGTGCCCGTCTGAACCCCTGCTGTCCGCGTCGGCGCAGGTCGCCCTGATGCCTCCCGCGGCGGCCGCAGGGCCCCCGCGAGGCCCGCAAGCACCACCGCCCTGACCGAGTGCCCCGACGACGTAGGCGCGATCCCTGACCCGCCAGCCCGCGTAGGACTGGAGGGGAAAGCTAACCATGTGGTCGGGCGCGCCCGCGTCCACGCCCAGCTTCGCGTGCTCCCAATCGACCTTCAGCGGGCTTCTGTAGGCGTCGATGATGGTCTGGAGCCAGTGGCCGCGCCTCCAGCAAGACGGGGACACAGGTGCTCAGCAGATCGTACACCCCCGCGAAACAAGGGCGGCACACAGGACATCTCATGGTAGTGTATATTGCGCTCCCCTTGCCACATGATGAGCCACTGGCGCGGGGGTCCCCAACGCCAGTCGAAGTGCTTGGCCAGAAGGAGCGTCGCGCCTGGGTCCTCAAAAGGCCTACCGGCGAAGGCCTCCTGCATGCTCTCCTGAGTCACGCGCAGCCACGACGGCTCAATCATCTCCTTCTGGGTGTCGTAGTCGACCCGAGGGGTACGGATGCCCGCGGCGTGGTCGCTGACTGGCGGTCGTCTCCTCAGTCTCCAGGCCCAGCAGCCCCCAAGGGGGCCCGCACGCTGAGCCCAGCCGCCCGCCGCCACGGCCCCCGCGTACTCATCGAAGCCAGGGGTGAGGATATACCAGCGATTTTCGTCCACCGAGCAAGGGGGCAGACACAGCCGTCCATGGTCGACGTCGTAGTCTCGATACAGAAGGGGCGTTGACCTAAGGAACCCTAAATAAGGAACGAGGCCCCTTTTCTCCAGAAGTTGAACTTTGATTTCCCTTCGAAAACCTAAGGAAAACCCAAGGCAAGCTGTGAAACACTCAAGGAACACGGAGCCCCTCCCCAACGAAAAGGGTTCCTTCTTCAGGACCCCTACTGTACTGCACTCCGACCGTCCCGCCGGACTTCAGGTCACGCCACCACACCCAGCCAGTCACGAACACCAGCAGGGACATCTCGAGGCACCCAGGCTCCGTCGGCGGAAAGCCTCGTCGTTGGCCTCGTGGCCCACTCCTGCACCCGGCCGCCGTGCGCCAGAGCCCGCGCCGACAGGCGCGCGTACACCTGCCCTGGCGCTCGCGTCGGTCGTCGGAGGCTCCGATCAGCTCGGGCAAGCTGGGCAGGCGGGTACCTCGGGGAAACCAGGGCAGCCCTGTCCCAGTCTGGGCAGGTCAGGCCGGTCGGGGCCGCCGACGCGACCGGGGCGCCAAAGGGGCCTCCGCCCATGTCAAAGCTCCAGTTCCAGAGGGCCGCCTGCTATCGCCGCCGCCTGCGCCGCCAGAGATGGGTGGGCAAGCCGCACTTCGGGCGCGCCCGCAGAGTCTGGGGGAGCGGGCGGCCTCCGTTTTCCGAAGCAGCAGACTTGAGAGAGAAACGTTGCGGACGAACCCCCTTGAAAGCGCGTCGATAATTACGAGTCTCCAAAAGATAGCTACGTGCACGCACCCCATCCATGATTCTTCTTGGCAAAAGTGTTTTTAGTCGTATTCGTATAATTCTTAGTATTACGATTACTCATCCTATTCTTGCTCTTATCAGTAAAGTTTTTGGTTTTAGTAATAGTCCCATGAATGGGGATACCAATATCTCTATGTGTCTTATAAGTATGCATAGTAATGTTATGTTCTTAGTGGTGTTTGTGATATCACTGTGTTCCTCCTCCTGCTCCTCCTCCTCCTCCTCCTCCTCCTCCTCATTCTCCTCCGTCTGCTCCTCCTCCTCCTCCTCCTCCCCCATCCTACTCATCAGCGTGTACGTTTTCACCGTCGCTTGTATAAATGGCCCTCCTTGTATTGCAACCTCCTGCAAATCTTGCGCGTGCTCGAGATCCTGTTTGTGCTCCCGCTCACACTCCTGGTCGTGCTGGTGGCGTCAATGTTCATGCCACTCCTCCTCGCCAGTATGCCCGCCTTCCCGCAACAGCCGCTAGCAGCCCTGCTAGCGTGTCTCGCCCCCCTCCCCAGATGATCCCTATGGAGCCCAATGACACCCCCCACGCCCTCCAATATTTATTTTACTATATTATCAATTACAGTAGGCCCGTAACACACGGATGCGCGATAAGGAGCAAGGGCCTTGGACGCCCATTTCGAAGCTCTTCGAGCGGGGTGCGGTCAACGAAGTGGCCAAGGATGGGCCGAGGAGGTAAGGATGCAAGGGCACCCGTGGGAAAGTCGCTCAACCTCATTGTGCGGGTCGACTGCACGCCTGCTGACCGGTATGATTCGCCAGCATGTCTGCAACGCCTCGAGCTCGAGCGACCTGGCCCGTCGTCATCGCGAGCAGTGCCCCAGGCCCTGCCTCGCCCCAACGCGCGACCGAGCACGACCAGCTGCCGACGACGACGACGACGACGCCGACGACGACGACGACGACGACGACGACGACGACGACGACGACGACGACGACGACGACGACGACGACGACGACGACGACGACGACTGACGCTTCCAAGGAGGCGACCGGGCGAGCGCCCCCCCAGGCGCGAGCCCTCACAAGCGGGCGGGCCGGGGCGGGACGGGGCCAGGCGAGCACCCCGGGGCGCGAGCCCCCCGTGCCCGCCGAGGCTCCGGCGGGCCAGCTGCGGACCCCCCCCCCCCGGGGGCTCCGAGGTCCCCCGCGGGCCTCCGCGGGCCTCTCCCCCCCCACGTCCCCGGAAGTTCCCCGCGGGGGCCCTCGGAGGCGTCCGAAGGCCCCCGCGGAGTTCCCCGGAGGACCCCCTCCCCCCCTAACGTTGCCCGGCGACGAGCCCCCCCCCCAGGAGACGAGGAGGAGAGCCCGAGAGTCCTCCTCGACAAGCCTCCTCCCCCTCTGCTCTGGATGGGGCAAGAATCGCCCCCCCCCCCCACCCCCCTTTGGATCCGCTGGGGGGGGTGGGCACGCGCTGTCGGAATGGAGTGAGCGGGGGTTGGAGGAAGAGGAGGAGGATCAGGAGGGGGAGGAGGATGGAGTGGAGCGGGATTGGGCAGGCTCGGTCAGAAGGCGTATCACCCCCCCCCCTTGATGGGTAACCCGTCCTGAGTAGCTGCTCGGCCTCGGAGTTCCCGGGGAGCCGATCCCCTCCCCCCTTACTCTGCCCCTCCAGGGCGGGGGGAGGCACTCGCCTCGGCGGAAGTTGCCCGCGATGGTGGACTCTATGTCGTCCGGGTCGCACGCGATCGCCTGCCCGCGCGGGGCGGCCCGCCAGGCCTCCCAACGCGCCGGGGCGCGCACCCACCAGGAACGGAGCTAGAGGCCTCCTAGTGGCGGCGGGCGAGGGGGGAAGCGAGAAGGAGAAGGCGTTCTCAAAAAACAGCGGGGCTCCTCAGGAGGCATCCGGCAATCTGAGAGGTGCTCTGTGTCTTCTGCGAAGGCTTCGAAAACTTCTCAGAAGGCTGGGGGACTTCCGAGCCTTCTGATAAGGCCCGCCCCTTCTCACTTCCCCCCGGGCTCGCCGCCGATCCCAAATGGGGTCCGACTGGATGGGGTCGGAGGATCGCGCCGCGTCGCCAGTGCATCGCCAATGCACAGGCGATGCATCAGAGAAGTCGATGATCCATCGTCGCAGCCGGCGTGGAGAAAATTGGGCCCAGAACTGCGCATCGAGCCGGACCGCCGATGCCACGGCGATGCGGCGCAATCCTCCGACCCCATGCACTCGGAGCCCATATTGGGAGGCCTGGAGGAGTGGAGCGGTGGCGCCGTGGCGCCGAGAGCACCCAGACTAAAGACAATGCAGCGTGAGCACGGTGCGGGAGGGGACGGGGGAGAAGCAAGCAGGGAGGCAGACAGAGACGGACCCAGGGGAGGCGCACCCAGGGGAGGAGCCAACGGCTGCAGTGCAGGGCGGTGCCCAGCAAGCGGGGACTGCGGGAGCGGCGGGCCACCAGGATGGCGGGCCGGGAGGCGCGGGGAGGAGGCCAGGTGGCGGCTGCGGGTGACAGCGGCGGTGGGCTGGGCGTTTCGCCCTGCGCCGGTGCGGCGTGGCAGAGGCGAAGCGCAACCGCGGCCCGGGGCAGGGGCGGCGGGGCAGGGCGGAGGGGCCAGGCAAAGCCGAGCTGCCAGGAGGAACCCAGGCGCCTGGCTGCCGCTGAGCGGCACGTGGATCCACGCGAAAGGCCAAGGGCGGCGGGAGAGAAGGCCAGCGAGCCGAGCCCAGGGCCGGCGCACGCATCACAGCCAAGGGCGGAGCGGCGCCCAGCAGGAGCAGGAGCTGGGCAAGGGCTCCCCGCAGGCAGCCGGGAGGCAACGATGGAGGGCGGCGCAGCGGCGGCGCCCCCCGAGCTGGGGCAGCGCGAGCTGCCGAGCAGGGGCAAGGGCCGCCTGCCGGGCCCAAGGCCAAGAGGGCGGCGTGTGCGCCACACGGGCCTGGGCGAGCGTGGCCCGAGGCAGACCCAGACATGCGACGTCCTGATCTTTTCAATACGAGGTCCCTGGAAGTCCCGACCCTTGCCCCGGGACCGGCTTTTCATCCGGAGCCTACCTTTGACGGCCTCGAGGCCTGGCGAGGGCCCGCAGGGGCCAAAAACTGCCAAAAACCTCCCGTCCTGATTCCCTTGCGGCGCGAGCATGCCTGAGGAGCGCGCGTTGCGAGCCCCAGCGTCGGGCGCTGGGAGGGGGCGCGCAGCCAGGGGCGGCCGGCACACCACGCGCTGAAGCCAGAAGCACGCGGCCAGTGGGGAGGCGGCCGCACGTCCGACCCGAACATGTAGGACAAGCATCCCGTAGTACGTATCGCTTCACGAGCGGTATGGCCAGAAAGCGCCCGCCACGGAGCTCACACTGCAAGAGTTCTCGGCGCTCGCGTCGGCCCTGGGGGAGAGGGGGGGCGATGCTCACAGAATATTAGCATTTTGGGGTGACGCAGAAGGCACTCTGCAGCAGCAGCAGCAGCAGCAGCATCAGCACCATCATCCCTCCATCTTCCACCATCATTCCCCCTCATCCTCATCCTCATCAATCTCCTCCTCCTCCTCCTCCTCCTCCTCCTCCTCCTCCTCATCCTCCTCTTCCTCCTCTTCCTCCTCCTCCTCCTTCCTCCTCCTCCTCCTCCTCTCCTCCTCCTCCTCCTCTCCTCCTCCTCCTCCTCCTCCTCCCCTCCTCCTCCTCCTCCTCCTCCTCCTCCTCTCCCCTCTTCCTCCTCCTCCTCCTCCTCCTCCTCCTCCCTTCTCCTCCTCCCCCTCCCCAGACATCCTCCGTCGTGTTCTTCCACGCCGTCGCTCTCCCCAGAGGCCTGGACCCCTCACCCCCAGGACCGGCTCTTCGCCCTGCGCCGCTCTTGGACCGCCCGGGGGCCCAGCGAGAGCCCTCAGAGGCCGAAAATGGCCAAAGAAGAAGGAACCGAACTCTATACACCGACGCTCTTTCCGGCCCGTTACTGAAATTTGCACAGGAAAGCGGAGGAAACAAGTATACACCATACCGCCCCGACGTCGCCCCCGACCCTCAAAAAGTCCCAGGATTGAAAAGCAGCCCGCCACTGGTAACGTATATGTTCCGTTGTCCGAAAAAAACCATCCGTCGCGATTTGCTTTGGTTTCCAGATATTGCTCGGATCTCTGGCGGCCGTTCAGGACGATTCGGGCACCCCCAGCACGGTCTCGTCGAAACGCCTCTGCTGGAAGGCATCCCGAGGCTGGGAACTTACGAAAGCGTCCAAAGGCCTCGATACTCGAACAGGGCCCCTCCTCCTCCATCCTCCCTCCCTTCTCTTCTCTTCTTCAGCAAGGGGAGTACCAGCTACTGGATGTCCCAAGAGACGGCATAACTAGTTCTGTCCCCCCCTTCCTCTACATGAGCCATCCCCTCCCAGCATGGCTTGAAGCGAATTCCAACCGCAGCCAGTTCGAGGCCCGTGAGTGTGGCAGACAGATGCTTCCTACAAAGATGGACATCACACTGCAGTTTGATCCGACTGTGCGCACAACTTGTAGCGCGTTCCCTCTGATCTCTGAGACCCCTTCCAATCCGCTTGTCCCTGCAGTCCTCCCACTACCCAAGCCTGCTGGAAGGAACCCACCAGTGAAGGTTGAGGACAGGTAGGCCAAGGTAAGACCAGTATGCTTTCTTGGTCGGTGGAGCGAGCACCTGGAAAAGCCACCAGGGCAGTTTGACGGGCAGGAGGCACAGCAAGTCGCCTTCGATGGGCGGCCCAACCCAGAGGCGTCGGATCCTGCTGGCACAGAAGGGGCCGAGACACAGCAGCCGTCTCCTCCTTAGGAGACTGGAATAGGGCAGCCGAGGCCAGCTCCACTCCAGCACAAGGGCCTGTCAACAGTCCACCACGCGACAGGAGAGTTCCTCGTACGCTAAGTTCGCGCGGCGTCGGCGCGCGCAACAGTTTTTGACATCGCGTCGATCGCTCAATATCGAACCGATCGCGGCCCCGATCGTTCAAGGCTGAATTCCGTCGGGTCCAGGGGGGCGCTACCGTGTCCCCCAGTGCTTCCGCGTCGTTCTATCATGCGGAGTTCAATCTTGAACGCCGTCGCCGGCGTCGCCGACGCGCCATCGCCGCATCAAACTACCGTACTCCGTCCAGACGCCCGCGCAGATGGCGCTCGCAGCAGACATCAGCGGCGGCACGGGCCATTGCCACGGGCCCAGTTTCAAGTCCAAGCACTCGTCGAGGCCGAGAGGAGTGGGAGTTTGATTTCTCCTCAGTCGCTGCACCAATGTGCACGACATGCCTCAAGCGACGTTGGCCAGCATCAAGGACAGGGCGGGGCAAGTTCCAGTGCAACGCTTGCAGGCAGGTGCCAGGAGGAACAACCCTTTCCGCTGCATACTGCACCATTACTGCTAAAGAAGTTCAGCGAGGCAAAACACTGGGCGCTACGGGAAAGCTTCAGCTGCGAAGAAGGTTGGCTAGAAGAGCGCATGACAGTGGAGGACATGGACCAATGGCGCGGTTGGTTCCGTAAACGCGCAAGGGCCTCCCCCACAGTTTCTGGCAGGCATCCTGTCCAATAGAAGGTGGTGGCATGAGGAGGTTCAAAGAGGCTTGCGGGAGGACACCAGAGGAGCAGTTGCCACGAGACCCCCGACAGAGCGGTTGCGCTTCACTGTCTTGGGGGTCACTGTTTCTGCGTAAGCTGAAACCGCATTACCAGCATGAGGAGACAAATTCAATGCACTAGTTCAGCGCTCCAGCTAGCAGTTGCCAGTTGCGCTCGCAAGGGTAAGGGTTAGATGGTTTGTGCATGGAGAAGGGTTGGAGGGCCTGGTCTGATTCGGTAAGTGACAAGTTGATGGGTTTCTGTTGGGGGGCCTCCACTGGAGCTCCTGCCCGACACCCACCATGCCGCAGAAGCGACACACTGGCTTCTGGTCCTGCTCAATGAGGCTACCCCCCATTTCGTTTCTTTGGATGCTCCTCCTCTCCTCCTACCCAGTGCGGCACAGTTGACGTTTTCGCCATGACAGGAGAAGAGTACCGCACGTGTTGCTAGGATCTCTGCTCGAGGGAATTATGCTTGGAACTCCCCCTCGACACCCTCCAGCTTTAATTGGCAGTTCCTGATGGAAGCCGCAGCGAGCTCCGGCTAGCATTTTGTCAGTGCGTTCGCAGGACTAAGGGATTGGTGGATTTGTGCAAGCCAGGGGGATGGAGAACCTGGCCTGACTTCTAAAATGACAAGATGCTAGGCCTCTTATCGGGGGCCCTCCACTGGAGCTACCCCCCGTCGCCATGTGCCGCTCGGCGGCCATCCGCCCGCGAACTGCCGAGAAGGGAACGCGCGCGAAGCAGCTTGAGCCAAAATGGCTATGGAGGAGGAGGAGGAGGAGGAGGAGGAGGAGGAGGAGCAGGAGGAGCAGGAGGAGGAGGAAGAGGGAGGAGGCGAAGGAGGGGCGCGCCTCCAGCTCCCCCGCCCGGTCCACCGGGAGCTGCACGAGGAGGCGGCGACCTGCCGCGCCCCGCGCGCCGGCCGTCGGCGGCGGCAGCGGCGGCGGCGGCGGCGACGACGACGACGACGACGACAAGCACCACGACGACGACCACGAACACGGCCACGACCACGACCACGACCGCGACGATGACGACGCCGACGACGACGATGACGACAACGACCACCACCACCACCACCACCCTCACGACGACGGCGACAACGACGACGAAGACGACGACGGCGGCGGCGGCAGCGGCGACGACGAAGACGACGACGACGACCACCACGACAAGGACGACGACGACGACGACGACGACGACAACGACGACAACCACCACCACGACGACGACCAACACCACGACCACGACCACGACCACGACCACGACCATGCTTGCGACATGTGGGAGGACGACGGCGACGGCGACAACAAGCACCCCCCCTCCCCCCCCAACCCGTGCCCTCCCCGCATCTCCCCTCCCTCCCTCGCTCCTCCTGCCCCCCTCCTGCCTCTCCTCCGCCGGCCCATCCGTTCCTCGCCCCCCTCCCTTCACACAATGTTTGGCGCCGCGGCCCCGCGCGCAGCGACGGGGCGCAGAAAGTCGGGTACGGGCAGTGAAGCGCGCGTCTACGCCCAGCCGCCCTCCTCACACACACACACAGACACAAACACACACACACACACACACTCACATCGAAAAGCGGAATCCGAACGGCAGAGCGATTCAGAGCCTACAAATTTGAAACATGCCGCACAAACTCAGGGATACCTGAAAGAGAGGAGAGAAGAGCGAGGGAGGAACGAGAGGGGAACAGGACAGAAAGAGAGAAGGCAGCCCCCCCCCAACTCCAGCATCGCCTTCGCCAAGTCGCCGCAATCCCGCCCACTTCCCAGAACTCCCTCCCTCCCTCCATGAGAACCGACGTTGCGAAAAAAACAAAAATCGCGACCATAGCCCTAGACACCGGCCGGGAACCGCCCAGTGTGAAGAAACTGCAACGCCCGGGCCTCGGGGTCCCCACTCCCTCCCGCCACCTCCACCACCCGAACGAAGTCCAGCCCCCCGCACGGACTCCCCGCGCGGCGGACGCTGAAACGCCAGGAAATAAGCCCCCGCGACCACACTCTGAGCCTGGGCACCGCGTGCCTCCTCCACCGCCTGTCCGGTGGCGCACAGCTGGCCGGGCGGGTGGTAATAAGGGGTGACCTCGTGAACCACTCCAAGAGGGCACAAACACGGCCTCCATCGGCGTCAGACGGGCCAAGAATCCCCGAAGACGGCCCAGGGGGCCCCATGAGGCCCCCAAGAGGCCCCCAAGAAGCTTTCGGAAAGCTCCCAAGAGGCCCCAGAAAAGGCCCCAAGAAAACGTGTCCTCTGGGGGCACTGGCCCCTGGAACGCTCAGCACAAACCCGAGGGCTTCGCGCCAGCCCCGAGGGGATTCCGGAGAGACCCAAGCTGGCCTGAGAGGACCTCTGGACGGCCTGAGACGAAGGCCCCAAGAGAGCCCCCAGACGGACACGGAGGCCCGAAGAGGGCCCCAGGATGGCCCAAAAAAGCCCCAAGTCGGCCCAAGAGGGACCCAAGGGACCCCCAAGACTTCCCCTAACAAGCCCAGGCCAGCCCCAAGACAGCTCAAATGAGGCCCATGAGGGCTCCTCGAGACATAGAAACGTGTGACATGTGACCGCTCTCCTCCTCCTCCTCGTTCTCCTCCTCCGCATCACCAGCATAGTGTACCATCATACATGATCATGTTTGTCGTCCCCCTCGTCCGCCACAATGATCCACATCCTTTCCTCATGCTCCTCATCCTCTCATCGCCGCCATCCTCCTCACCGGCTCGAGCAGCTGCCACCGAGAACGCTGGGCGAGCACGGTGGCCGGACTTGCCGCAGGCAGCTGGACAGAATGCGAAGACCCCAGACATGCGACGTCCTGATTTTTTCCCAACCATCCTATGGTGTTGGGTCCTCGTTTTGAAGAGACAGCGCCCCACGTCACACCTCCTGCTCTCCTCCTCCTCCCCCCCCTCCTCCACCTCTGTGCCTCTGCCCTCCGCATGTCAACCATTTCGGCACACCCCTCACACGGTTCGTGGCCCCATAGGGAGCTCCACCGAAGGCCCAACGGCAAAGTTCGCATGCGGTTCCACCCCCATGTCGGCGTACCCCTCACACGGTGCGTGGTCCCATGGGGAGCTCCACCGAAGGCCCATTGGCAAAAGATATGTGCGGTTCCACCCCCACTTTGGTACACTCCTCACACGGTTCGTAGCCCCATACGGAACTCCACCGAAGGCTCCAGTGGTAAAGATCGCATGCGGTTCCACCCCCATTTTGGCTCACCACTCACACGGTTCGTGGCCCAGAGGGAGCTCCGCCGAAGGCTCCAGTGGTAAAGTTCGCATGCAAGTTCGCATGCGGTTCCACCCCCCTTTTTGGCACACCCCTCGCGCGGTTCGTGGCCCCATAAGGAACTCCACCGAAGGTTCCAGTGGTAAAGTTCGCATGCGGTTTCACCCCCATTTTAGCACACCCCTCACACGGTTCGTGGCCCCATAGGGAGCTCCACCGAAGGCAATACTCACAACTGCGGCACCCACAACTGCAGATGGTTGGGTCCTTCGCCAGGCTAATTACCATACGGGGTCCCTGGAAGTCCCGACCTTTTCCCCAGTACCAGTTTTTCATCCTGAATCGTTGCTTGAAGGTCCCGAGGCCGGGCGAGGGCTCCCCG